TTTCTTTCATAGTGCATGGGAAAGAAGTCTCACTCTGGAAGGAAGGAGTTCAAGATATCTGGCTCGATATCTTGCTGACCTGGAGTATGCAAATGATGTTGTTCTGGTGAGTAGTTCGGAAAGCTAACGAACGGCTTCCGTATGCAACACAATTGCGAAAGCCGGCCTCTTCGTCAGTTCCCAAAAATCAGAAGTTATGAGGAATCCATCCAGCAAAGCTGATCTAGAGGTAAAACTGGGAGGTGTAGCTCTTTAGAAGGTTGACCAATTTAAGTAGTTCTGCCCAATCGTCTCCAGCGATAGCGTTCTCTAGCTAGAGAGAAACAGGACGGTAACTTTGACTACTTTTGGAAAACTTTCCAATATTTTTGGCTGACAAATGATTAGCTTTTCCTGCGAAAATCTACCTGTGGTTTCCTCTGTCCGGTCAGTGTTGTTGTATGGCGTAAAGACAGTCTTTCTGACGAAAGAGTAAGAACGACGGTGGAACTGCCGCATCAGCGTTGGCTTCGACGTATGCGTTATAGACGGCAAGAAATGATTACATTCTCTTCCGGGCACAGATGACCACACCAAATGTGGAGATTAAGAACGAGAATTTGGCCTCGTGACGCGAACTGGTTAAGTATTTGCCATTCACTCAAACTCATAAGCCTTCGCATGTGGGAATTTTAACGGCACACGTCGACCAAGAGGTCAGTGTATAATATGGCAGATCTGTTTCTGGAGAAGAATATTTCCTTCTAAAGTAAATGTGCTTTTATTCTCCCATAGTCCTTATAGCAAGAGTGTTGACAAGCCGCTAATACAGCGGACATCACGAACCAGAGACGTTGTGCTTATTGAAACGACTCGAGGTGATGATCTCAAGAAGCCTAACAAACATGTCTATAAGGATAAAGTCGTGGGTACAAGCACCGGAAATAGAATGTTTTAGTGTGTTGTTAGTTGTCCATGCTGTACCAGGACAACAGTGGTTACGGGACGGTATCGTTTATGAACCGTTTCTTCTCAAGATCAAAAGTAAAATGCGGTCATTTCGGCAAGTGACCATTACGCGGTTTCAAAAGGAGGGAGACTCGCAAGATGGACTCTTCGCAAAGTCAGATAACGGGCGAAATGCGCTAAATGACTCCGTTTCTCTTTTCCTGTGTCATTTCCGCCTCCTATTTGCATCTTCCTCATTCTTTTCTTATTGTCTTTTCTCTTGTTTTTCATCTTCATCTTACTTTTCTTATCTTGCTTTCTTTTATTCTTCTCGCTATTCTTCTGTTCTTCCTGTTATTATTTTTCCTTCTCTGTCTCTTCTTTTCCATCTTTCTATTGTTTATCATTTACGTCTTCTTTCTTATCTTCCACTTCTTCGTTCGCTTGTTCCAGAACTATACTACAAAACTAAAGTAAAAGTAGTTATTTGCAATGTTTGTTTTTATTGAAATGTATTATTTGAAATATTATGAAGTTCTGTTTCTGCTGTATAAAAACGATTTGTTTTTTATGCGTTATAATATATCTGCTTAATTGCAATAACTTTTCTGTAGTGCGGTGCTTTTAGCAATTGTTCTGATTATGCCTGATATGCCAAGAGAAGAACTGTCGCAAAAGTTCTATGCACTCTCTCAGAGACAATCGCTTCCTTTGATTAATGTAAGTACTTGAACTTTTCTTTATCGTTTTTTATAACAGTGGCCAAATATTTAGTTTTTTATTTTAATT